ACGTTATACTTCTTTAGAACTTTCGATATGTGGTCAGTGATGTTTTGAATGTAAGGACGGACAACAATGGCAAGTGTGAGATTGCTTTCGGCTTGCGTTAATGTCGAATTATTAGAGAGAAGAGCAGAGATAAGGTGTTTTAATTCTGGGTTCAGTGACTCGGGCTGAAATAGTTTTACTGCTCTTAGATATTCTTATCAACAGAAATCAGACCTAACATTGGGTCATTGTGTTTACAGAAGAAGTCAGCGTTGGTCTGGGGTAAGACACAAGAAATTTCTTTTCAAACTTTAAGGAAAGAACAGAAGTCGGCAGCTTTACTCTATCATCCGATTTTAGTGCATCCGATTCACGTTAAAAACGACGAAAGTGACGTAGGTGTTACCTGTTATCTTTTTCAAAAAATAGAAACGATAATTTGCCTAATTGCCGATTATTGCTCCATCGGGAGAGAGCATATCGTTCGACCGAACAAAAAATACTAGCGGTACTGTTCGCCGTATCGAAATGGCGGTGCTTCTTGTCGGATATGAGTTTTACCTTACGCGTGGGCTTTAGTTTTGCAAGAATATTGTTTCGCGATAGAGTTTGTCCTTGAGCAGGAGATTATCTTGTCCGACGCACTCGGTCGTTGCTCGTGTGTGAGATATCTCTAGCCAAAAAACAAAACGTCACAGATATTTTCATTGTCGCAACCCCCCAAGGAATTTCAAACCGCTTTTAAAGAGTTTTAGTCGAATCAGATGAAAAGCCGAACAACATTAAACTGCTTTTGCCAAGTTCGGAAAAGCTACGCGCACAATTTACTTTCCATCAGCGTCTCTTATATAAAAACAGTTCGGAACGGTACAATAACTTACTTTGCGTTCCTCGTAATTTAATAACAAAATTCATATATGATTATCATAGCGTTTTGGGCGATTTTGGAGTTTAGAAAACTTGGATCACAATGTGTGGTGAGATGTGGTGGTGAAACATGCATCGTACGATTAAGCAAGAACTTCGGGGCTGCGAGATATGCCAGAAGCCGAAAATATCTAGTGTCCCGCCCGCCTCAAATACAGATAATCCCTAAAAATAAATATGACATAATTGCTGTGGATGGTTTGGGAGCATTGCATTGTGACGCTAAATCGATTGATCCGCGTATTCTTCACGATCAAGGCAGCCAATTTGCCTCCAATGTATGGAAAAAGGCTTTGAGCTATATGGTGCCGCATTTCGAGAAACTTCTAAATTCCGTCGTGCATGAATCCACCGGTTTTGCTCCCGAGGAGCTCCAGTCAGGTGTTCCTAGATCGAGGTTCTTACCCCAAACCGTATCGCGTCCAGCGTATAATGCGAAAATTCCTGGCGCAAACAAGTTTGTAATGGCCGAGGCCACACTTCGTGGTAAAACAGCGCAGCGGGTATCGTAAGACCAAAAATATTGTGCATTTATTGCTTTGACGTTTTAAGTATTTTACAGTACCTTAACCGCAGACATTCGCAGGACCGTAGTAAAACCCATCCCAACAGATGTTTATTCTGCATTAAGTAAGTCTTGCGTGAGATGTACTGTAACGAATAGTTATAGAAATTTGAAATTTTTATTAGAAGAGTAAATGGATCGTTTTAAATTTGATTAAGCATTGATGCTGCGGGGTATTTTTGGAATAAGTAGAAGCGTTTCTTAGCGTTCTTAATAGTTTATAGTTAGTTATGGTTAAATTGCAATATGTTCGTATATATCACGGAGGTATTTGAATGTGAAATTCCTAGGGCGGTCCTGGAATGGTTACGGGTTAGGGTCTGCTCGAAAGGGGGGTTCCATAATAGGCTGAAGTTTGGAAGTAATAAATAGTAGGCAAAGTTAAACAGGAGGATGGATGTAAAAACACAATATTTCTAGTCATGATATACAGCTTTACGTGGGTAGTCCTGACTCCGAGTTCCATCCCATCGACCTTATGCTTCTTAAAGCTAATAACGTGTCTGATGCTCTAGGAAAATGTTGTGAAAACTCCAACAACCTCGCTATCGAAGACTTGAACGAAGAAGAAAACAAAAGCTTGAAGAAACTAATCAAAATACAAATTTCGGCGAATGCGCCGGTTAACAAAAATAAATTCATACTTTGATGTTATTAGCATGACAAAACACTTTCAATTAAGTCAGTTGGTGACTCTGATCATTTGTTTATAGTATGTTTAGAAAAAGATTTCAAAAATAGGAAATCTGACATCGACGTACTACTACTTCGGAAAACTTAAGAAAGATATAGACCTTTTTTACTGATTCTGGCTTCTATATCGATGATTATCATTTAAACACGAACGAAGAAGAATCTGAAAACTTCAAGACGAAGCTGCAATCAGATGCATACTTCAATTTTCAATTTATTAGTCGAGTGATGATGATCACTCGACTATCAAAATGAAAATTCAAGTATGCATCTGATTGCAGCTGGATCGTTTTTTAAATTTTGTCACAATAAACAATATGGCTCAACTTTCTGCAAAAATGTTTTTGTACCATGCCTATGTTTTGTTTGTGTAAAAGAAAAAAAAATTATACTCTATATATATATATATATATATATATATATATATATATATATATATATATATATATATATATATATATATATATATATATATATATATATATATATAGAGAACACTGCCCAGTGTTCGAAGTGTTTTCGGAGCGCGAGCATTGAAGATGCCAAGTGAGATTTTGGCGAAACGTCTGCAGGATTCCAGTCGGATGCAAGATTTGCAGGATTCCAGTCGGAGTTCAACGAGCGAACGGATGATATCCCGGAATATAGTGTCATCACATTTTTCCATCCGTGAATCAATACGTGAGAATATATATATATATATATATATATATATATATATATATATATATATATATATATATATATTATATATATATATATATATATATATATATATATATATATATATATATATATATATATACATGTACATACATACATATATATATATATATATATATATATATATATATATATATATATATATATATATATATATATATATATATATATATATATATATGTATGTACATTTCGTACTTCAAAGAAACATTCCCATTTCTCTCGTTTTCTTATACAACAACAACATATTGTTTATTGTATCAAAATTTAAAAAACATGATCCAAAAACGAAGTTCCATCGAAATAAATCAATATTTTAGTCTGAAAAAAGTTGGTAACATATTACCAACAAAATAATATTTTCCTGATGGCCGGCATGTGAAATTATGGGTAAATGTCAATCAGTCGAGTTAGATGTACCCCAGAAATGAAACAGTTAAATAAGTAAAACAAAGTTTCGGAAAAAAAAAGGGATCATTTGGCACTCTAAATATGGACTGTCACTGACCATTGACAACTAGAATGACCAGAAAACAAGAAACCAGATGTACAACGGACAACAATAGCTACCTAAAAGGCACTGCACTGCCTACTTTATCAAGCCTTTACTACCTTAAGAGTAATGTGATCCCCACATATGGATGTTCTTCTAAAGTTATCAGCCTATCTTGCAGCCCCATTTTCGACAATGAATGTTATCCATTGCTTCCTTACAATTTCACCTTTTGATAACTAAATAAAATTTAAATTGAAGGGCACTACTTGGATAAGTGATTATTACATCAAAAATAGGAATCAGACATATAAGCAAGTTTACAAAAAAAAAGTTAATCGCAACCTAAAAAGTACTTACAAGTCAAGGATATAGTTTACTTCCAAACCAAGCAGGGGCCAGGAAAATAGTCGCAGACTGATCAGGATCTCTTCTTCCCAAGTTGTGTATATTATATTTTTCCTAATCAAATTGAACCAGAATCAGTGTCAAATTGTGTGTGTATTACACAAACATCCTTCCTGTAGCTATTTAGGTGTGCCTAAAAATGTAGGGAATTGTGTTTAGTTAATTCACATGTAAATATTTGTGTACGTCTATTTTCCAGTTTGTTAAATGAAAAAGATATAGGCATCACTGTTTCTCTATGATCCTATTACGACATCATATTTGCTGTAATTTCATGAAGGAACAAAGTATTGAAAGCATTAATTACACAAGTTTGAGAGCGGGAGTCCTATCTAACCACCTTTAACTATTTTAAATTAACTTGTACTTAAGGCAGCACTTACCCGTGTATAGGCACATTCTTTTCCTTACTGTTTTAACCACAAACATAAGTTTTCCTGTGGGTGGGCATTTTTATCACAAAAACACGAAAGACGTAAGGAAATATTGACACCCAAAAATGTAAACAAGAATGGCAGGGGCACAGGCCGTTCTGCGACAATAGTAATTACTAAGCTCGGTGTTGCCAATTATGTTCGGATTTCAGAGGTTGATGTCGCATTCTTATGAAAATTAATCAATTTGCCAGAAAAATTACGTCAATGTCTCAACTTAGTTGGTGGGCAAAAAATCCATACCTTTAGGAAAATATAATAGCCACCTGCGGCGCATCTATTTTTACCCTAGTAGAGCCGCTTATTTATCTTATACCTATAAAGCTAAATCGTCATTTATGATAATTTTGTCATCTACTGGAAATATTGAAAGAAACTACCAACAACTCCCGAATTGGCTCGCAACACTGTTAAATATTACATTGTATTAAAAATTAGAAAACTAAAAAGTACCATTAAGGAAAACTATGAAACTTGAAAGCACATAATGAATAAATCTGAAATATTACAATATTGAAGCTGATTCAATCACCTACAAATCTTTTCCCGTTCGCAATATTTTACTGAAAACCGACATTCTACATTGGGTCCAACTCGCATCTCTTACCGTTTTTAACCTTCAAATACTGACAATGGGTTGAGACATGAGACAGTGCCTGTGCTGATATGCCAAGATTACGATAAATTGTGAAACTTTGCGCTCATTTATAGTTACTAAAACGAGATTGTTATCACAGGTAAATGCGTTGATATAAGAACCCTTGTTGGCCAGATAGTTTACAATTCAAAATGAGTGTCGCTACAAATAACGAATTAGTGGTCCGCGAATTTATCGAGAAAATATTTGCAAACCGTAATATAGGCAACTTCGAGCTGACCTATAGCTGCAGTACGGAAAATGGTGACGGTTTTCTGGGTGAGATAATATTCGCTCAAGTGACGCCGAAAAATGAGCAAACGCGCACATACCATTTAGCTCTCAAAGTCGGCAAAACAAGCGAAGAACTAAGAAAAGAATTCCCAGTACGGTTTGCATTTGAACGGGAAATTCACATGTATAAGAACGTATTTCCTGCGTTCCAGCAGTTTTTGAAGGCGAAGAACTTAGAACCTCTTGATTTTCAACCTAATTGTTTCGGTACATTGATATCAGACCATAGCGAAATAATAGCACTTCAAAACTAGAAAGCAATTGGGTACGATGTCCGCAGTAAAACATTTCCTCACGACGTCGCTCATATCAAACTTACCATGGAGGCATATGGAAAGTGGCATGCTACTTCACTGGCTTTGGCTGAACAAAATCCGAAACTGTTTGAGGAGCTGTCCAACACTCCGAAATTATGGCCGGTCTTCGGCGAGACAGAAACATATAAAACAATTTTCAGACAAGCAGAAGAAAATGTCGCCAAAATACTGACAGACAATAATGAATTAGACTTGCTGAGAAAATTCAAACAGAAATTCAATGGCAAGATTTATGACATTTGGCATGAAATTGTTGTTCTGGAAGTGGGGCCCCGAGTTGTCATTCATGGGGATTGTTGGAATAACAATATTTTGTTTAAGTACGAGGTAATGCTATAAAAGGATTTGTTTATTTAATTTTTAACATTAGCATGATACTTTATCAAGAGTTACTTAATGTGGCAAAATTACAAATTTTTATAATATATAAATATAGATCTGGTAAGTTTTGATCATATATCTACAGTAGTACATAAGGTTGGAGTTGGATAAATCAAAAAAGCCAAGGCGACCTTTCTCCACAAGGCTTACTAGTACCCAAAATTTTAAAAAACTTTTAACTATGTAATGTTACATTTTTAGATTTACAACCAACTTTACAGCTGCTTAGTTCCAGCAAAATATATCCCATGCTCTTGTTGTGTACATCTTTTGCTACCACTGTCTCTTTGCCTTCTCTACAAATAATATCTATTAATGTGGGCTTACCATAGGGCTAGTTGTGTATTTGAATAGGGTTAATTACACTTCTTCACCTGTCTGTATTTAGCTACTATACTCGTTGACGCATTTTAGCATACTCTCCTGTAAGAGGTTGCTAGCCTGCACTACCCTGGCCTTTGATGTTGTTCTCAGTCCGGTAATAGTCAAGCTCGAATTTTGGCCGGCGGTAGGTTCTATTGAGTGCATGCTTTATTGACTTTGTTAGTGGGAGTCAATCTTACGCGTCACCGCCGTTGTTATCTTACGCTGGTGTTTACAAGTGGCCTCAAATTCCATTTAACTGTCAAACAGGTGGCGGTAGTTCGAATGCACTGCGGATAGAGCTGTGCTCCTCTGTCCTGATTGGTGTCCTCAGGGTCATCGAATCGCAAAATCCATATAGTTGCCGCTCTAAAAATAGATATTGAGATTGACTTGATATTTTACTATAAGGATATTCAGAAGGACTTTTTTATTCGGTCGTTTTAAGTCTGTGGGCCACTATGTGCTCGCTCGTGATGGGTAATCCGTGCAGATTCTGTCATGAGCATTGCACATGGCGGTTTAACCTCTGCTCGCTCCCGACGGAATCCTTTGTAATTGTCCCAAAAAAAATGATATCGGTTTCAATCACGTGGTTTTTGTTTCCTAAGTGTTTTGTGAAGGTTTTACAGTGTCGGCCCCTCTGTTTTTGCCATACACGCCGGTTAAAGGCCGGAAGGGCCCAGATGGTCCGCGGTGAAAGCGGGTGAGGCTGTTTTTTTGTTATCGATCAAAGTCCTTTTTTACAATCTGGGAACAAATGTTTGATTATAGTTTTTTTTTACGTGTTGGTTTGTGACCAAAAGAACAAAATCCTGCACGGACGTCGGTAATGAGCGAATGGCCATGGTTATCTTCCCCAACTGTTTGGCTCAGCGTGGTCCAGCATTTTGCCGGCAATGCGTTGCAAGTTACAAGTATTTGGGCGGAGTACGAACAATTAATTTTTGAGTTATTCATTGAAGGGTTTCATCGTGTTTTAATTATGTTATATATCTTGTGAGATTTGAGAATTTTTAAGTATTGGATGGTGGTTCACCCTTGTGTTTGAAGTACGTTTTTTGAGTACGTATGCGGCGCACGACTGTGGTATATGACGTCATAGATCCTGCAGTTCGTGTTGCGTTGCGTCCGCTCTCAATATCGAACTAGACAATGGTACTCATATTTTTTGTAGTATGCCATAACAATTGATTTTAATTTTTATTTAATATTACGATACATTTATTCTCAAAGGTTCTTGTTTTGATCGCCCCACTCATTACCATTACTTAAGGGAGGAGTACACGTTTATCTGGAGCAGTTGGGAACCATTTCGTATTTGATGGTAGGTCCGAGATTACAAAATTGGACATCTTTTTAGATTGGTTGAGCAGTGAATAAATTCCTGACGCCCTCTTATAAAACTAGATTCACGCCCCGTTGCACTGTTTAAAAGCTGGCCAATTCTATTCAACCATATCGATACCGAATGACGTGTCCTACCTTTAACTTGAGATTGATTAAATTAATTTGTTAATAAATGAAATAAATTGGGTTTAATTAGTATTACTAATAACACCTAGTAATCGATTAATAAAAAGGATTCGCAATTAATAAATATTTTTATAAAATAATAATCTAATAATCATCTAAAACTGTACGAAAAAAGCATCAAATAACCTTTTTTTAAATAGAAGCAAATGGTAAAACTGCCAATGTGGAAAGTACAAGGTGACGTTGTTCTCTTCAGACTTATAATTTATACAATTATAGTGGTAGACAACTTTTTCTTCTCCGAGTGATATTAATTTATAGTCTTATATGTACCGACATATAAAGTTTTAGCCTTGTAAACAGAGCCCGCGCCACTTTTCGATATCGATTTTGATATGCAAACATTTTCTGAACTACCTGGAACAAATAATCCTATTTCTGAAAATCTGAAAACAAATCCGAATTTATCCGAATATATCGCAAGTGATATAAGTAAGCTTTCTCTTTCGCAGTATATAGTATACTATGCAACAAACGATTTTTAACAACGAACAACGAACATTTTACTCACGAATCTGATTAGGAACGAAAGCATGGATTAAAAAAAAATTACATGCAACTGATGCCTATCGTTTACACTTTAGATATTTAATAACCGATTCGTGACTGTCACTCACCATCTAGAACGGGCGTGCAAACATTTTCACAAAACTGTCGTTGATATAAATAAAGACTTGATGTATATTAATATGATGATAATACCGTACACAGGTATTTATAGCTCGGCGAGATTGAATAAATTATTAAAAATGTTTTATTTCAAGTCTACTTTCTTTTCCAGAATGAAGAAAAGAAAAATCCGGTAGGTGTGAAACTGATAGATTTTCAGTTCAGTCAATTGGCGAGTCCGATGATGGACCTGTCTTATCACTTGTTCACAGTATGCTCAGAAGAAGCTTTCAAAAGTTTAAAAAACATTTTCGATATATATTACGACTCCCTGTCGGAACACTTAAGAAAATTAGGAAGCGACCCCTTAAAAATATTTCCCCGTTCAACGCTAATCGACCATTGGAGCAAATATTGGCCTTTTGGAGTGATCATGACTTTGATGATAATACCTACCGTGTACTCCGAAAGCTCGGACACCGTGGCTATCGAAAGCATGAACGACGAACAACTTAATAAGTTGAGGACTACGTTTCAAGGAGAAAACAAGAGACAGTTAGAAAATAGAATTATCAACGCGATCAAATGCGGATTTCAATTTCAATTTTAATGTTATTACAACTTTTAAAACAAATTAGAAGCTATACTGGAATACTTGTCCTCTGCTCGAACTGCATTAAAAATCTTACCGTTATACCTGTCAGAGATCGTAAAAAATAAATATTAAAAAAAAACTAATCACTTAATCGATTATTAAAAGGAATCCAACGATCCGCGACCCGCTAGACCAACGACAAAATAGCCAATCAAAAATAAACTATCGGAGCTACTCAAAATTCGACCTCCCTGGGCGCTGATTTACATAATAATATTGCACAGTAAACTTCCATATTTCTATATTGTGCAATGAAAATATATTGCTGCAGATAGTTAATTCCCTCTTTTTCACATTTAAGAAGAAAAATATTTTTTCGAATAGAATTAACAAGTTGATTATTATTGGTTAGTGGGAGCAATTACCATCAATATTTGTTTTAAGTGAACAGAGAGAAAGGAATGAGCTGCACCCGAAATGGTAGGACTTATTGGTTGAAAACCGAGTTTCGAATGTTGCTCATCAACATTTTTTCAAAACTGCAGGATATGAAAGGCCAGTTGCAGCAAAATGAAACTGTATTAAATAGTTGGTTAAGTTTTAAAGTTTATTGGCTTTTGTTAGCGTTTGCAACCAAAAAGCTATAAAATTTTAAACACTCTTGTTTTTCGTTATTTCTAATTTGGAAAAACCGTCCAAGAAATGAAATATTTATCTATTTTTTAGTATGTATATATAATATAATAATATAAGTTTCATATACTTTGGCGCTCATGCTTCAACAGCTTCCCAAATATCTCAAGGACCACAATAAACGCATCGCATAAAGGCATCGTAAACACTCGAGCTGAAATTGTTTCTTTCACTTGCATCGCTTTTAGTGTCTTCTTCGCCCTGTGCAAATTTGTTTTTGCAGATTGCAATCTTTTTTGTAAGGGCACGCGGTGAAAGGGTCCATAAACGTTCGTTATCGATCGAAACGATAGCGGCAACAAAGTGTGTTTGCTCGATTCTTCAAAATGCTGATTCCGGATAAAGTGACTTTAAATATTTGAGGACGCAATAACGCTTAAAGCTTGGTTTTTGTGTATGTTTTTCGTCGCCATCTATTTCATTTTTTCCGCGACTTTGAATAGGTGAATTAAAAAGTTTGCCTCAAGGCCGGAATAAAAGGTTTGCTATAGAGTTAAACCAAAATTGATGAAACATTAAGTTACTACACTTTAGTACACATTAGTACTTTTATAGTTGCCTATTATTATTACGTATAATGAGAGCATGTTTTTATGCTGAATGTTGAGTCCATATACCACTATTGTTGTCATTGTTCTTCCATTAATTATTAATTATTAATAATTATTGACTTCGATTCCTTTGTATTTTGTTATGTATACATCAGCTTGTACTGCTTTTAAACTGTCAGTTTGAAAAGGCGACATTCACTTTGTGTTTTTAATCTCAAATAAACATCATTGCGCCTTTCAAACTTGTCAATCAAAGTTTCAAAAGAAGTCTTGTCAAAGAAAGCTTGATTTAATAAGTCGCCCAACGTCAAATCCAAAATAAAGGCCCGTCAACTGTCAAAATTATATTGTCTTTCTCACAAAATTTTCAGAAATAATTGAAACCTTTATACATTACAAATTTCCATACAGCATACCTGCATATATGGTGTTTTTTAAACGCTGCGTGGGCGGGAAATAATAAGGGCACCAATTAGATTATGTCTTGTGGGTTGCCAAATCATGTTAAAGTTCACCAAACTATATACGGTTTTTACAACATTTTATGATTTTGACTTCGGAATGAGTTTAAGAGCCGCCTGTTGTAGAGCGGAATGGGCCATTCTTTTCAGCACGTGTACCACAAGCCAGGACCGTATTTAAGATGTTAGCCGACAAGAACTGTGCCGTGCTGACTGTTGAATTTTAAGAGAGTAGTAGAAAGCAGTAGGGAGTAGAGTAGGGAAATTGCCTTTGATTAAACTGTTATATTAATTCATGTTAATGTGCATTTTATAAATCTGCCTGAAACAGTCCTTACTATAGGTAGTTCGATTTCAAGTTGAATTTTTTCTTATGAGATCGGTTGATCCCCTATACTAAAAATACATTAGAAATCTTAAACTAATTTCCAATTTAAGGGTTTATCATAGTAACTCTACAATATTTTTCTAGGAAAGCAATAATTGATTTATAATGGATGTTTTCCCAATTTCGCTATTAGTTAATTTTATTGTGAATTTATGAACACACGGATGTATTAAACTAAAATAACTTTATTAATAATGAATACACTTATTTTAAATTAACACTCTCTCATGTTAGGTTAGGTTCTATTCTACACCGTTTCCTCTTCTCTTTTTACAGTGGATTAATGACAAGTAATCACAACAAATTTGTGGGGGTTGGTGAAATCGGAGTAGGCTGTCAGTTTTATAAAACAGTATTTTGCTAGCCGTCGAAGCCTTGGAGTTATTTCCATTCCGTCTTGTGATTGTAATTAGTAATTGCCAACTTACTGTTATTCAATTGTTTTTCCATTTTTATTGAGGTACCGTATACATTTTTTTACAACTTAATTCTTACCTAATCAATCATTTAATTCTGATAGTCAGTTGCGATGTCCAGCTTCGTTGATGATGAACATCTGTCAAATTCAAATTCAAAATTATAATTTTAAATGTATTTCTGTTTAAATTAACATCCGAAATGACTAAAATACCGTATGCCACAGTGCGTGACATAGTTGTGTTGTGAGTCCAAAAAAGAAAAACGCTGCAGCATCGTGGAATTCCAAAAAGTCTACTTGAAATGCACCTTGCCGAAATAATCAGGAAGTTAGTATATGATGCGTATCAGAAAAATATTGTTTTAACAATTAAAACTTTACAAGAAGAGTCGCGTAGTGTTTTGAACATTGAATGTTGCCAAGAGACTTTGAATGCGTTCGTACGTAGAATTGGTTTTTCTTGCAAAACCATCAATAAGAGACAGTTTTGATGGAATCAAGAAGAATTTCGGAGTGGAGGACAAGACATTTGAGAGAAATTCAAAAAAATCGTGATAAAAACGTCCCCATCATATATTTAGATGAGACCTGGTTTGTAGTCACGATACCGTCAAGAAAAGACGTTCTTAAGATGGAAACATTTGATAAGAAGTCAGTTAGCGTACACGTAACAAAGTAATAGTATATTATGCAACAATTGCGGTAAACGAGTGAGTTAAAAAGTTTACCGAACGTGTTGCATACTATACTCTTTCTACGACCGTTAGTTTTTGGGTACATTTTCGCAAAACAACACGAATACATTCACTGACATGACTGTCAGAATTGACAAACGTCAAAATTCAAAGCGTGGGAAATATCTCCGAAAACATCCGAAACGAAACTGACGTGGTAAAGTGACGCTTCCCGCACGCTAGATCGGTGGGTAATTAGGACGGGAGTAGAAAAAAGAAATTATTGTTACCCATATCTAAAACGCATTATTCTGATCCTATATGCAGGGTACCATACTGCGATTGGGCGAAAATTTTGAGTACGACCTGCTATCGGCGAAAAATTCGGACGCTCTCTTGAGCTTGCTAAGAACATTAAATCTTGAACAATTCAAGAAGTGAAGTTAGTGGTTAACTCCTTCAGTTTTGGCAATTAGTGAATTGCAATAGTTTAGTAAAAGCTCTCAAAGGTCTTTAAATTACATGAATTAATGTTCCAAATCGCTGTCCGTTATTGTTTCATTGCATTTGGTGGCCAAATGAATAGTTCGCATAAATTGTCCAGGAACTTTTTTACAACGAACTTCTGACCTGTCGCGAATATAGTGAATTTGATGTGGAAAAGTATGGCCAAATAAAGAACATAATATGATTTTGTTCGGATTTTTAATTAAATGACGTAGGCTTGAGTTTAAGCGGTATTTTTTTTTTTTTTGAATAATAATAGTCTATTTAAAGTTAAAATCACATAGGAAAGTGATATTTTACAGGGGTTTTCAAAAACTCTACTGCAGATTCGTCATAAAAAAAGAAATAAAGTTCATATCAAAGTAGGTTCGAAAATCCATAGTTGCCAAGATAATGATCAGTGTGTTAAATATAAAAAAACTGGTTCCTTAAGATATGCTAAATATTTTTTGCTTGATTTGCTTTGAAAGTTCACTGGAACATTGCTATATAAAAACATGAATTTGAAGACTTATTGCTGTTTTTTGGTATCGGGTTTGGGAGCCAACAGCTATTTATTACATAACCTGGAATCTTTTAACAAATAAGTAGGTATGAGATAATTTTGTGGGGATGGTCGAATGATTTGACTAATGTCGTCTTGATTCAGAAAGGGGTGGTAAGATTATATAGCAGTAATTGCCAAATAACTCCTGTAAAATCAAGTGTAAGTGGCATGCGGTTTTCTAACATTTTGCCAAAAGAAATAACGATGTGTGATAATTTATGTTGTTATGTTAAAAAACAAGTTGAAGGAATATCTTGCGATTAAATGCCCGTATTCGGTAGAAGTGTACTTTAGTTAGAGAGTCTTTTTCCTTAGTTATTTATAGAATACTGTAGTCTTCGACAAGTAGATTATGCGCTTTTTTTAAACAATTTATTAAACAAATGTATTTTTCGATTTGGAAAATATTGGTTATAATAAATATTTGAATAAGCCACTAAAAGTACAACCGTTTATAAGCATCTGGACTAGTTTTCTAGGGAAAAAATAAAAATCATAAAAATTGACACAACGTATTTTTATGAACATTTATTTTTAGAAAATTTTAACATTTTTATAACTATTGTAGTTACCTCCCTCTCTTTTTAGTTAATGTAATAAAACATTTCGACGCTTGTAATGTTATCGGCTTTATATGCCTAGCTGAAATGTTCCATTGTTCGGATCTACAAAAATAAAAAAGTTGGACTGATTTTATTTTGCTTTTGCGTTGCAAGTAGTGTAGCTACAATTGATCTTTCTCTTTCCTTTGAGCTATAGTTGTGAATACTAACATACTGCGAGAGTTAACGCTGCAGCAAACTATCAAGAGATAAATTTAGTTTAACCGTTGGTTGTATTAAACTAATAATTTATTTTTATCGGCAGCTT